ACACACACACACACACACACACACACACACACACACACACACACACAATACAATTGAATACTCACTAAGATAAGCAGTTACCAGGAGGAGGTCCTGCGCAAAAAATAGGCAGTTGAATACTAACTAAGATAAGCAGTTACCTGGAGGGGGTCCTGCAGAGGCAGGGAGATTAACAGTCATTAAAATAAGCAGTTATCTGGAGGGGGTTCCGGCAGAGGCAGGCAATTAACTGTCATTAAGATAAGCAGTGACCTGGAGGGGGGTCCTGCACAAAGAGGCAGCTTGAAAGTCAAACCAAGATAAGCAGTGACCTGGAGGGGGTCCTACCCAAAGAGCAGGTTTTAGGGAAGGAAAGATAAGTTAGCTAGGACGTACTGACCTTAGGTTTCTAGAACAGAGTTGGGTAGTTTTCCAGGAGACTCTCCAACAAGGAAATCAGATTCTGCTTAAACCTGAAAGGCCTCAGCAGGAATACAAGATGGAGGAACTTTTGTACTGGTTTTCCCTGTCACACACGGTGGTGTATGCCTATAATGCCAGCATCCCAGCACTCAGAAGACTAAGGCCAGCAATGGATATACATGATTAAAGCTAGTGTGGTCAAAACCACATAGAAAACTAAGCAAAATAAAATAAGATTTTATGCCCACTAGAAAATGGGTTTGAGAGAGACTTGGAAATTACTGAATTAAGATCATGTAATCAATCAGATTTAAATCAATTCAGAATTCAATAAATAATATCAGTCCTACACATGCTCAAATTATTTCTTAAGGAAACTTGAAAAGACAATCAAATAAACATAGCTAAGAAAGCATTCCTGATACTACGTATACTCCAAACCCACAACTGATAAGCCATCCCCAAGCTTGATCCCCAAAAAGGATCAGAATCAAGGACATCCCTCGATAAACTGGCCAAAATTGTCATAACACAAAAGTTTTCCTCAGGGGTTGGAGAGATGGCTCAGAGGGTAAGAGCACTGACTGCTCTTCCAGAGGTCCCGAGTTCAATTCCCAGCAACCACATGGTGGCTCACAACCTCCTTGCCAGCAGTTCATTGTATGCTTAATAATAAATCTTAAAAATAAAAAAAGTTTTCCTCAAAATGGTAAGGTGACAAAATTCTATATAATTCAAAATTTTGAAAAACAAGACCTTGGAGTATCGTTCAGTGGTAGAACACTTGTCCAGCATGTGTGAGACCCTAGGTTCAATCCTTAACACTACTGAATAAATACATATCAGTTAGGTATGGTGGAGTATACTTGTATTTCCTCTTCTGCAAGGAGAGACATGAGAATCAGGATGACAGTCTAGACTCAGCTACCATGGCAACTTTGATGTCAGCTTGTGTCTCAAAAATACCTACGTCTCAAAAATAAAATAGATAAAAATAAAGAAACTAAAAGTCAGCTAAAGGAGTAAATGAATTTATGGAAGAAAATACTACCGTCCATGGAAGAATCAGAAAAGACTTAAGATCCAGTGATGAACCAATTTGCAAAGGAATGCCTCAAAAGTTAATAAACAGAAGCTATTTATCTGCAGTAGGGCAAACAGGATGAGGAAGTTAGTTAGCAGAAGGGAAAAAGCAAGAAAATGCTAGGAGAACTGGGTTGTAGAGCTACCTGTGAGACTAACAGAGTTTACCGGAGTGGCTGCCAAGGTCCAAAGACAGTCAAATATGATATCACTTTGATGCTAGTTTGCCTTTCAATAATACTGGTTATACTTACATTAGCTGGATTGATTTAGGATGGCGAAATTTTGATTTATACATAGGGTGAAAAGACATTCACATATAACTAACAATATTAGAAAATGGCCTAGACCTGATACATACAAAGAAAGATGCAGGTAGAAAGGCCATGCCCACAGATCAAAAAAGCTCAAGTTAAGAGTGATTTAAGTCTTAAAGAGAGAGGAGATTAAGGAGACAGTCTATGGATTCCTGTGTGCAACAAAAGCAAGGTGACAAGCACAAAGAACCAGAGAGAAGCTGCAGCAACAATCATGACACTCCACTAGAGACAAGTTTTAGAAACTTAAGCCTGTTCATACAATGAAATATGGATTGAGAAGAATACTCTTCCAGATGGTGATAACTACTTTTGATTTTTAAAACACACCTGGGAAAGCCAGAACCTGAATTGAGGAACTGTCGTCATTAGATTGGCCTAGAGCCATATCTGGGGTAATTTTCTCGATTGCTGTGGGTTGCAGAGGGGCCCAGCCCATTAGTCATGCTACTGCTAGGCAGGTGAGCCCAGGCTGTATGCAAGAGATAGCTGAGCAATGCAGAGAATCAAGCCAGCTAGCATTTCTCCATGGTCTCTTCAGTTCCTACCTTAAGGTCCCTGCCTTGGCCTAGCACAATGACATGTTTTCCTTTTCCAAATTTTTGCCGGTCAGTGTTTAACCACTGTAAGAGTAAGCAAATTACGGCCAAATAAAATAAATCAATTTTACAGCATAAGACACAATACTGATGACAGATGAAATACAGAGGTTAGCTAATCTGTGTTCTTTGAAATAAAAAAAAAAACACCTGTGGTATGCAAACAGATCGTCAGCAGCAAAGAACTGGATGTTTAAAAATCCCAGTTGAGCGCAGTGACACCTCTAACTCTGGTTGATTACTGACCATCGCTGCAGGTTAGGAGTCAATCAGAGCTACACAGGGAGATTTACAGGACTGGGCTAAAGAGCCAGACCCACAGAAAAGAAAACAATTAAAACAAAACAAAACAAAAACTTCCAAGATTTTACACAGGAGGGACTGGAGAGATGGCTCAGCACCGAGAGCATACTCTGTTCTTACAAGTGATCCAGGTTCTGCACCTTCAGTTGTAGGGGTCTGTCACCCCATTTCTGACCTCTGTGGGCATTACACACATGTGACAAACTTACATGGATGTAAAACAGTAACAGAAGACAAAAGAATCTTAAAAGGATATACCGGAGGATTAGAGTCATAAACATTAGAAGCTATAAGAGGTTATAAGAATAAAACGTAATAAAGCAGGTATGGGCAAAATGCAGCTTCCACACAAACACAGCTCACTTACTTTTTATGAAATTGTTTTCTTGGAACACAAATGCACTCGTGTTTATATATTGTCTATATTTGTTTTCATTCAACAACAGCAAAACCCATACAGCCCATAAAAATGAAACTACTATCGTACTTAATATGAAAACATTGCAAATTGGCCTGAGAGTATAAGCCAGTGTTGGCAAAGCTGAGTGGACACTCACAGGAGCTGAGAGAATAGTATATTATGTTAGAAGCAGAATACTGGAAAAGGGATTTTGAAAATCAGTACTACCAAAATCCTGACAGATACCCACAGTATACCTCCCAGCCCTGAATGTGCTAGATAGTAAGAATAATTATAGGTGGGTTGAGATGTAGCTGAGCACTGCCAACTCTCCCAGCACCCACACAGAGGCTCACAGCCATCTACAGCTCCAGTTCCAAGGAATCCAACATCTTCTGTCCTCCACAAGGACAGACACACATGAGATGTGCACACATGTATATGTAGGCTAACCACTCATACATATAACTTTTTCAAAAAAGAAAATCCAACTGACCAGTGGTGGCATATATCTTTAATCCCAGCAATTGGGACACAGAGAGAGGAAGATTGTGAGTTTAAGCCAGTCTGCTCTATGAGTTAGTTTCAAGACAGCCAAAAGCACAGAGAAATCTGTCTTGGAAAACCAAAACAACAAAAACAAAGACAAACAAACCCCCCCCAAAACAAACAATAGTAAAATAAATAAGAATATTATATGATGTATGCCAGAAATAAGGCACAAATCATGGCACGAATGTATAATTCCAGGCATGGAGAATGGGGTTGAGGCTAAATTAGAAGGATCACAAGTTAAAAAAATGTCTGGGCTATAGTAGAGTAAGTTTAATAATGGTCCAGCCAATGTTAAAAGAGATGTTAAATATAATAGAGCTCAATGGCTCTTCACTAGTATGTACAAGCTAGTACTTCACTTTTCAGTACCAGAAAAGATCTGGACAAATGAAGCCCTGTGTTAGATCACCAGAACTGTTGAAAAAAAAAATAGTGCCCGGGGGCTCTAATCACAGAATGCAGAAGTACAAAAGAGAAAAATCACACTCATCCTAAGTTACACACTGATTTTTAAGGCCAGCATGAGCTTTGTAAGATCTTGTTCACTGGGGTAGAAGGGTTTAAAATGTTACACGAAATCCTCAAATATCATTTTAAAAGAACCTATTTCAAGCCAGGAGGGGTGGCACACACCTTTAATCCTAGCAGTCAGAAGGCAGAGGCAGGCGGATCTCTGTGAGTTTGATGCCTGCCTGGTATACAGAATGAATTCCAGGATAGGATCCAAAGCTACAGAGAAACACGGTCTTGAAAAAACAAAACAAACAAAAATAATCCACAGCAACATAAAAATGGTAAAAACAGGGGCTGAAGAGATGGCTCCATAGATAAGAGCACTGTCTGTTTTCCCTAAAATATCTGGGTTCACAACTGTTTGTAACCCCTTAATTCCAAGGGATCTGACACCCACATACAAACATGAAGGGAAAACCCCAACATACATTAGAAAACAAATCTTTAAAAAATTGTAAAAATGAATGGATTATAAACGATAGGAAATTATCATTATGCTCATCTTATGAAAAGTAACTGGAAACTAGGGGTATTGTTCGTGTCACATGCCTGTAATCCTAGCACCGGGAAAGCTGAGGCAAGAGGATTGTGAATTTGAGGTTGGACTGGACTCAAATGAAAAAAAAAAAAAGCAAGCGAAAAGGAAACTTTCAGTTGGGCTGTGCTGTTGCACGCCTTTAATCCCAGCACTTGGGAGGCAGCGGCAGGCGTATCTCTGTGAATCGAGGCCAGTTTGGTCTACAGAGCTAGTTCCAGGACAGACTCCAAAGCTAAAGAGAAACTGTCTGAAAGAAAGAAAGAAAGAAAGAAAGAAAGAAAGAAAGAAAGAAAGAA